TGTTTCTTTAACAAAAAATCTATTAGATCACAATTGCGTTTAAATGCTTTTACTTACAACATTATATTTTCTGAATAAACGTCACATACACGATATCATAGTAAAATTTAAATATTCTAAAAGATGAAAGTTTTCATTTAACATAAAACTGCTAAACGCGTAGACATATGGCCTTTTCGCACGTAAAATGCGAGCTTGGTAACGCCTCTTTACAAGGCGTAACATTTGTACCGATACTCAATCTGGTTATTGGTTCAAATTGGTATGGAAGGAGATGAGCTTTCTGGTCAAATGCTCTTTTACAGTGTTTTGTAACAAGACTATCAGGTATTTCTTAAGCATATAAATAATTATAAAAAAAAAGGAGTCCCGGAGTCTTAAAATTTTTATAGGCTTCTGAGACTCTGGATGCCAGGCTAAGATAGAGACTCCATGGACTCCGACTCTGGATTTCGCATCCCTGTATATATATATGCTGTATATATATATATATATATATATATATATATATATATATATATATATATATATATATATATATATATATATCCCTGTATATATATGCTATATATCCCTGTATATATATGCTATATATATATATGTATATATATATATATATATATATATATATATATCCCTGTATATATATGCTATATATCCCTGTATATATATGCTATATATATATATGTATATATATATATATATATATATATATATATATATATATATATATATATATATATATATATATATATATATATATATATATATATATATATATATATATATATATATATACGTTATTAAAATCAAATGTAAGTTATGTGATCTTCATCAAAATAAAATATTATCCAAAAACAATGGTGCTGTAAGGGCAACTGCCCAACGGTTTATAAATAACATAAGTCATGTTAAAATATTTTAACATGTTACTATATTTTAATTAAGTTGATATATAATTAAAAATAAAAATATAGTTCAATAAATAAATAAAATTTGTTTTTAACAAAGATTACCTCATATTTATTCTTTTTCTTTTTTTTTTAAATAAAATTTGTTTTTAACAAAGATTACCTCATATTTATTCATTTTATTGAGTTAAATTGCTTACAAACGAAAAAAAAAAGAGTTTTGTAATTATACGTAGAATGAAAATACTTTTGAGTTTGTTTATAAGTTAAGGAACTTAATTTTAATAAACAAGTTTTTACAAACGTTTAATTATAAACAGATACGATTCAAATTATTAAATATACTTAAATTATTTCAGTTGAGTATTTTTTTAAGTTTGCACGATTAAAGTTTTGCGTAGAAGTATTTGTTTTTTTGTTTTAAGAATAATTAACAAAAGACTTTGCATAATTAAGACTTTTAAATTTAATTTAATTTTTTTTTTTTTAATTTCCTAAAATTAAAAAAAAAAAAAAAAGATTTAATCAGTAAAAGTGATTTTTCTCTATAGCTCTGTTTCTTAGTGATTTGTTTAAAAAGTAAAATATTTTCACAATAACATAAAAAATTTATGAATTAAATTCCTGGCTAACGCGTGTATCAAAAATATGCTCAAAGCAGACAAAACTTTTTTATATTTTTATAAAACGCAAGTTGAAGCGCTAAGCAAGATAAATTTAAAAAATATTTAAAAACCTTAAGTTTTCTTTGCTAGTCAAAACAAAATCGTTGTTTAAATAATTAACATGGGTTTGTGTTTATCAATGTTAATATTTTTTGTTTACTCAAGAAATTTTTAAAAATAAAAAAAATCATTATTATTTTTTATTCAATAACAAATAAAAACAATTATTTAAAAACAAATTTCAGAATTAAATTTAAAATAAAATTAATAAAAACAAATTTCAGAATTAAATTAAAATATATATATATATATATATATATATATATATATTTTTTTACTAAATAATATTGAACTAAAATTAATAATAAAATAACAATTGAAAACATTACAAAATTTTCATAATAAATTTACATTAAAAACGTTTATAGTTATTTGAGTTAATTGTTAAATTGAACTAGTTTGCGGTTATTTATTTATTGCGGTCGTTAAAACACTTAACGTCTATAAAAAAAAATAAAGATAATTTTATGACGTCAAAATCGCGTTAAGCTAATGCATTAAGCACTTTTTTATTTAAAACAAGGCCTATATATATATATATATATATATATATATATATATATATATATATATATATATATATATATATATATATATATATATATATATATATATATATATATATATATATATATGTATATGTATATGTATATATAAAAATATATATATATATATATATATATACAAGCCTTCCCAGGAAAGGCGTGCGGTTTTTCGTCTCGTATGACCACGAAAACGTTTTAGACAACTTTATGGTAGTTTGCGCAAATTTTATTATATGCGTTGCTGAAAAAAGTTTTAAATTTAAAAACTACATAAGAAATTAAAGTAAACTTAAATAGAAAACAGTAATAATATTTTAAATAATTTGTGTGTTGTTTTTATTTTTGTTTTTTCTTAGTGGTTATTATTATCGGCAAAAAATTCAGTAAGTTAAAAAAAAAAAAAAACGGTTTTAAGCATTAAAAAGGATGACTTTCCTATATTTTATGTGTTATCATCACCTGTTTGTAAAATATATTTGTATAATTATAATGTAACAAGTATATATCAAGGGTTAAATTATACGATCGCGATCTGCAAACTCTGCAGATCAAAATATTTGGTCTTTAAAATTTTAGTTCATGCAAAGCTGTGTACTTTGTTTACAAGGAGCAAATTATTAAAAGTTTGCTAGCGAGAAAGGTACAAAAAACAAAACAAAAACAATAAACTTACAACTACAAAAGTAATAACACTTTAGTCACTAACTGCATTATAAAAGTAATAAAACTATAATAGTGTTATTACATTTATAAAGCACTTATTACTTTCAAAGTTCATTCTTTGTTCAAACAACATTATTAATTCCAAACATTTATTAAAGTAGAAAAGCATCTAGAAAAAATAAAGTGGATATTAAAATATTAATAAAAATTTCAGGAACTTCTACAGATCACTTAAACAACGTTATAAAAGAGTATTTTATAAAAAGTATAGCATTATGAAAAACGTTACGTAAAAACGCACGTTTTTAAAATCAACCAATAAAAAAGTTTTATTGGTTAATTTTAAAATTAGCTTGCGTTTTTTCGGTCCATTAGTAACGTTTTTCATAATGCTAAACTTCTAATACGTTACGTTTTTATAAAGTTGTTTGTCACATTTTTATAAGTTATTTAAGTTAAGCAACCACTTTATTCTTCTGGATATTTTTCTACTTCAATTAAAATTTGGGATTACTTATGTTGCTTGAACAAAGAAGGAATTTTAAAAGTTATAAGTGCGTTATAAAGGTAATAACACTTATAGTGTTATTACTTTTGTAATGCAGTGGTCTTGGCCTTGCTAATTTTGGCTTTGTTAACATTTCTGAGCTCAGATGAAGAAACAATATTAAGATTCACAATTAACACAATTAAAGATATAAGGAAAACTTAGCACGAGAGACACAACTGTAGGCACTATTTTAAATGTATAGTGTAGCAATGTTAAGAATTTCCTTATCTTTTCAGCAGTCACAACATTGTTACTTTGTGACATGGCCAATGTCACAAAGTAACAATGTATATCACAATACTGTGCTTCACTTTTATTTAATATTACATATGAAAATATAATTTTATAATATCTGTGTATAAAAAATATTTAAAATTTATATTATTTTTGTGAAAAAATATATGTTCTTTAGGATAATTTTTTATTTATTTTTAACTTTCTATTTTGAAAGTTATTGCACATTTAAGAGCGTCATGGCGTGACAAATCAATGTCATGTTGTGACGCGCGTCTTTTGAGCTATATCTGTAAAAATATAAAAAAATTATGAAAGTTTACTTTTTATAATACAGTTAGGCTATTTCAATATTATAAGAAAGTTTACTTTTTATAATACAGTTAGGCTATTTCAATATTATAAGAAAGTTTATTTTTTATCTTAAAAATCTTAATACCGCAAACTTTTGTTTTCTCGATTAAAAACACATTAAAACTTGTCATGAAATTGCTCTATACCAACTTATAACAAAGCATTGCATCTGTTAACATTGTTTTGGTAATTTTTTCAGGATGTTCAATCAAAGGTTCTAGCTGTTATATAGGTTCAAATGTTTAAATTCTTTTTATGCCATTAACTTTATATAGAGTCTTTGTCCTTAAAACCATCTAGTTATAAATAGGTATTATAGTTATATTGTCTTAACTTAAATGATATCATTCAAACAATGAAAGTCTGATTGTTTTAAATTTGTTTGTCGTTATATTTTAACATATTTATTTCAATCTTTTAACGCACTTTACCCTAATAATACAATTAATAAAAAAAAAATTATTTACATTTATAGCATATATACATATATTACATAGTAATATTTCAAAAAAAGTCTAAAAAGTTTCAGATTTTAATAATTTGAAAATTTTAACCCCCTTACATTTATGCATGATGATCAATTTTACCTTTCTAAAAACTGCAATCCTGCATAGGTCAAAATAAATTTTTTCCAAATTTACTTTCCCTAAGTCATTATTCACATATTGTGGCACCGTAAAAATTATCCAACAAATTAAAAAATCATATATATATATATATATTTCAGCAAAGTGCGGACAAGTAGAAAATGTTAGTATGCTAAATATGTTAGTATTTTATTATTGTGAACAAGTAGAAAAAAAAGATTTTTTTTTTTTAATTAACTAATATTAGTATATTATTTTGTTATCTAACCTTATTAGTATTATTATTATTAGTAACCTTATTAGTATGTATTATATAATTTGTTTAGTAAAGTTGATTAATAAAGTAGTTAATTTCAATAAATAGTTTGTTTTTATACTATTCTCTTGCTTATTATTGTATCTGTAAATAACTATTTTTTTTTTTTTTGCAGGAGCATGATGTGGATGCAATTCATCCTGGGTATGGTTTCTTGTCAGAACGTCATGACTTTGCACGTGCTTGCATTAAAAATGGAATAAAATTTATTGGGCCTTCCCCTGAAGTACTATATATGATGGGAGATAAAATTCAAGCTCGCAAAGCAGCTATTGCAAATAATATTCCAGTTGTTCCAGGAACTGATTCCCCTGTTAAAAAAATTGATGAGGTTTTTTAATGTGTTATTATTAATTATTATAGTATTTACTTCATAACACTTGTCACTTATTTTTTATTTTTGACCATACTTGAGTATGATTTACAGATCTTATTAATGTTAAATCAAAAAAAAATAATCCTCTATTTTATCCAAAATTATTAAGGTTTTTGAAAGAAATCCTCTAAATTAGATGCAAAATTTCTTCTAAAATTATCTAATAATCTCTTTTTCTTATGAAAATGTTATGTGGTTACCCATAACATTTTCATAAGAAAATGTTACTTGTATACCTATAAACTTGATGGTTTTATAGTTTCTAATATATTTTTATTGCGTTTTTGTTATTTATTGCTTTTTAATATTCTTGTGGTATGCAGCCCTCAGAATTAGGGTTGGCATTCGGCATTGACAACCTAACTGCAAACCTTAAAGTGTTTGAGGTCAGTCAAAAATTGACTGACCTCAAACACTTTAAGGACCTCATTTCTATGTTTTATGGCAAAACCTTTATATTAAACTTTATTTGCCGATCTGATGCTGACCTCTAAAATAAACAATTTTCATAACTCCGAGGGTTGGGTATGGTTAGTTGTAAGTTTTTTTTTATAATTTCATTTATTTGTTACTCTTTTTTTATAATTGTTTTTTTTGATAATATAGTTACTTTGCCAATTTTGTGTAAAAACACTTTTTAACTATCAGTGGTGAGGTTAGCAAGGTGTTCTTCAAACTATTTGTTGTAATACCAAATACTACAATGAATTTAAATGCTATAACAGATAATGCAATTCTGATATAATGTATACAATTAAAATAGATCTTTATCTTTCGCATATTTTGCACAAGAAAATGATTATAATGTCAAAGAACATTCTAACAAAATAAATGCTGAATTTGAGTAGAGTATTTACTGATACATCTGCCAACTTCCTGATTGACTTGCCTTTGTAAAACAGATTATAAAGGATATATGTTTTAGAAAAGAAATTGTCAAGAAGCTTATGTCTCTTTTATTCCCAAACATTCTCAGGCAATGGTCATATTTTTTATTAAAGAAATATAAATAGAATATATGTTTTAGAAGAGAAATTGTCAAGAAGCTTATGTCTCTTTTATTCCCAAACATTCTCAGGCAATGGTCATATTTTTCTGACAAAAGTTGAAAAAGAGTTTGAAGTTTATTGATTTTAAGGAATTTTTCTACAAAAACAAAAATTATTTTTTCTAGTTCATAGTTTGATAAAAATATTTCTTTCAAAGTTTTGTAGGATTTTAGTTTAAAAAATGCCCAATCAGAGTAAAAACTAAACTTCTACTTTTTTTTTTTCTACCTATAAAAATGTTATGACACTTTTATTTTGAAATTTAATGATCAAGTAATCTACCTATAAAAATATAAGATAAAATAAATTTTAAAGTATCAAGTTTACCAATTTGTGCAACATCATTCCTTTATTTTCTGCTCTTTATAAAACTCTCTACATATTTTGCAATAGAATATCATTTCCACCAGTATGATATGACTCACAAGAGAAGTTCATTGAGTCAACTGTCTTAGAAGGTATTTAATTTATACTAGAACAAGTTTTCAACTTTGTTCATTTTTGCATACAACGTCTGATAACAATGTGTTCCAATGATTCACTCAGATTTTACACCACTCAATTACATTTTTGATATCACTTTGGAATTTTTTTGAGGCTAATGGGTAGTCTAAACAGGCCAGCAGTTTTGTGTTATCTGCATACATTTTACACGAGTGAATAACAATATCAGGTATCTCATTTACAAAAATGATGAATAGAATTAGAGCTAAGACAGATCCTTGATGGACGTCAATCAGCACCTCCAACCACAACGAATTCGCTTGTGTGAAACCATATCGAGCGTTTTACTGAAATCTTTAAATGCCACATCCATAGGTACCTTGTCAGATAAATCTTTTGACTTCATGTCAATTGACTCCTATAAATTAGTCACATACGCTTTTTTACTAATAAACCCTTGTTGATTTTTTGAAATAATGTCATGCTTGACTAAATGATTGACTATACTGTCACTTTACATACAATTGATGTTAGTTGATGTATTAAGTATTAAATTTATTTTAAAAATTTGCATGATTTTCATTAAAATTTTTCTATTTTTACATAAATTTTACATAAATTTTAATAGAAAATGAATGCCTTGTATGTTCAAGTTTTAAATTAGAGCTTATTTTGATTTTTTCAATCAAGTCACAGTAATATTTTCACCGAAAGGTTGGAAAAAAATTGCTATCTTCAGACACTTTCAGGTCAGTAGTTTGGTTGGCATTGCCAAATGTCAACCATAATTCTTATGTAATATATGTTCTGCATTTTTTCTGGAAGATAAAAAGTAAAAACATTAGCTGATGTCTAAAGACAAAGGACACAGTCAACTTGATTCGAATTGATGCGGACAAAATTGCACTATTGAGAAGGAGAACAATAAAGAACAAAGAAAAAGGTTCAATGAAGGTTCTAAATAAAAACACATAAAAAATAATTATGTGCATATAAAAACACATAAAAAATAATTATGTGCATATAAAAACACATAAATGAAGGTTCTAAATAAAAATACATAAAAAATATAAAAGTAAGAGTAAGAGTAAAAGGATTAATAAAAGCTAAAAGAATAAATTAGAATAAATATTATTAATTGATGTTTTTTTGAATATAAATTAATTGAATATAAATTGATGCGGACAAAATTGCACTATTGAGAAGGAGAACAATAAAGAACAAAGAAATTCAATGAAGAGTTTTTAAATAAAAACACATAAAAAATATAAAAATAAGAGTAAGAGTAAAAGAATAAATTAGAATAAATATTATTAATTAAAATAAAATAGTTAAAATAATTAGTAAATTAATATAAGTGAAATTCTGTTCTCAGGGCTGCAATAGATTCTCCATTAATGTTTAAAGATAAACTGATAAAAAGTTTGATACTAAAAAACTAATAAAAAAGAAATGTCCGGCTCGGCTCCAGCTACCATGTTTTATGAACAAAAATTGCAAACTAATTACAGAAATTAATTTTTAACCAACTTTCATGATTACAAGGTTAATGTAATACTATCACTACTCTACTAACGTATATTTTATTTGAAAATAAAAGTGTTATGGGTAAATATACATTTTTTTCTATATATTATAACCAAAACTAAAGTTTTAATTTTAAATTAAAATTAGAACTAAAATTAAAACACATTAAAACTAAAAGTTCTAATTTTAGATCTAATTCTACCCAGTGGGCATGGTACCTAAAAAAGACGTCTTTTGAATGTTCAAAAGACATCCCAAATGTTCAAAAGGCGTTCAAAACGTTTCAAAGACATTTAAAAGATGTCTTTTGTATGTCCTATGCCAACTGGTTGTATAATTTTTACAATATGAATAACCATTGGCCATTATTTTTGCAGCTGTAGCGCAGTGATTAGCGTACGTGCCTCAGAAACTAGAGATCTGTGGTTCAACGCCACCTCTGGGCAAGTTTTATAACAACAGTAAGAAAGGAGGCGTGAACTTCTTTTCAATTGCTCGTTTGGGGTGCCCTGTGATAAGACCGTAAGGACTTCTTGGAGCACCTAAAATAAAATAAAACTTAACAGCATAACATCAATATAAAAATGTAATATAAAACAATATATGTAATACTGTTAGAATGTTTCCATATATAAATTACTTGTGTTTTTTTTTCTAAATAAAGCATTTTAAGAAACACTATTAAAGGATCTTGTTGAGTACTAAATCATTAAAATATTCATTTTTATTACGTTTTGGCAAAACTGTAACTGTTAGAAAAATTATTTATAAAAAAATTCAATAAATAATTCATTCAACAAATTAGTTAAACAAAGATGTATCCCTGACCAGGCTTGTGGAGCTGAGCCGAAACTGCTGTTTTTTGATGGAGCCACAAAAATCAAGCGTCTCTTGTGTCATTCATTGTTTAAGAAATAAAAAAAGGCTTCTGCTTCTAAAAGCTTTTTTGAGAGCCTATATGCAATTGACTCTTGCTACTCCCACTTCTATTTGATATTTTTTTTTTTTTTTTTATTTGCATTCACTCCCAACAAGGCTGCAAGCAACCACTATTAAGTTGGGAGTTACTAGGAAAAAAAAAGAACAGAGTTATAGAGCAAGGAAACGGTTGACAGAAGACTTGAAAAGTTGAAGGTTGTATGAGTCAGGAAAACATGAAGAGGGGAGAGAGTTCCAAAGGATTGAAGTGCGGGGAAAAAAACTAGATGAATTAAAGTTTTTAGAGCATGCAGGGACAGATACAGTAAACGAATGAGACTTAGCTGAATGACGAGTAAAACAAGAATGAATTTAAGTTGATGGAACTAGAGATGATATCCTTTGAGCAGTGACCATGATAGTATTTGTAGAAAAGAGAAAGAGATGCAACTTTACGACGATGGGAAAGAGGTTCAAGCTTAGCAGATAGTCCAGGTCCAACAACATTTACAATGCGTTTTTGGACCTTGTCAAGAAGAGAAAGTGAATCATTAGAAGAACCAAATATGACAACAGTATTCCATACAGGGACGAATAAGAGATTTGTAGAGGTAGAGAATGGAATCAGAAGTAAGAAAATGGCGAGCACGATAAAGAGAAGCAACCTTAGCAAAAGCTAATTTAGCAATCGATTGTATATATGGTTTCCATGAAAGGTCAGTAGTAAGCGATAACCCAAGAAGACGTAAAGAGGAGGACTCAGTAAGAGGATTGCCATTCATTAATATAGGAATGTTGACCATATTACGGTAGTTGTTTGCTGTAAGCAACTGGGTTTTTTTAGAGTTAAAATTCACAAGCCACTGTGAACCCCAATCTATTACTGAAGTGAGATCGGATTCAAGATCAGCTGCTTGTTCTAGGCAATCGAAAAGAGAAGACTTTTTGTCAAGACAGGAGTATAAAGTTGAGTCATCAGCAAAAAGAGATACTTTAGATGAAAGGTTGTCAGGAAGA